GGCGTGTCCTGTTAAAAAGGCCACTATCCTCCTTATTTTTTGCCTGCTGAAACCTAGCAGTTCGTTTTTACGTATTGGTTGTGGAGGTCCCACCAACTGCTTTGCGGTATGGAGTCGCGGTGTCTCCTCCCAGTACTTTCTGTGTTGTTCCAAGATCCACTGGCCAACTGCCACCCTAACTTAGGCATGAGATATACCACAAGCAGGTTCTTGGTTGGTCAGTGGTTTCTCGGTCCCTGCCTTAGCACGTTCCGCAGCAATCTCGTTTTATTTGTTCCTGTTCGTACCAGTTGCCCAAATAAGTTTTACTCTGTTCGAGCTCCCGGCCAGGGTTGTAAGTTCTTTTACACAATCTAGCACACATTGTGACCTGATTGTGTAAGATTCAAATGCCTTTATTGTGGCTTCATCTCCGGTTACGATGGTAATGTGCTTACGTTTGTAGGCTCTCTCCTTCATTTTCCGGGCGCAATTTGTTATTGCTAGTTGCTAGGATGCTTGCTTGGAAAGCTGTCGTAGTTGTACCAAGGTTTACGGTAATCTTTTCCCCCGTTCTTCCTCTTTCGGCTATACCAGCGCCTGTGCCCGACGCTGTTTTTATGCCTTCCGTGTACCATACGGAGTTCCCTGTGATGGCTGATGGCGTCTCTCCACCATCTCGTCAAGAGGCCCAGTCAGTTGTTTTAGGATTTCTATACACCGAAAGGGGAACCTTTTCCGACTCGATGTAGAATCGTATGTATCTATGATCGGACAAACTGGGTGTATCTGACACATGCCAATCTCTTATCGATTGTAATGTCTATGACCTCCCTTCGTACCGTTGTTACAAAGGTTGGTTTATTTCCCTAATTACAGACTTCAAGTGATGAGGTCGTAAGGTATTCTAAAAGAGACTCGCCCCGTTTATTGGTGTCACTGCTGCCCCACAAAATGTAGTGCGCGTTTGCGTCACACCCAATGACAGTTCTTGTCTTAGTCGCCTTATAGTGCTCCACCAAATTGCGTAATTCACTTGGAGGCGGTTGTCCTATTTGATCGTGTGGCAGGTTGTATTCAGATGCCAGAACTAATGTTCGGTCCCCGCCCTTCGATTTGAATCTTATTTTTATACACTTAAGGTCCCTACCACAGTATTCCCATAACGGTATAGCTCTAACTCTATTCCTTTTGAGAATACATGTACGTGGGTTTCCCAATCCTCCAATTCTCCCCTTATAGACATATGGTTCCCGAATTGACGAAATAATATATATTTTGCGAAGTAATCTTGAAAGTTAAATAACCAGCATTATTTATTCTCCGCGTCTGATTGAAAGTCTATTACATACAGCTGCTCTCTGGAGTTAAAATTTGGTGAAACGATGGGTTTAACGGTCAGACTAGCATGCGATTTGCCCTTTTCTGTTCGCTTAGAAAATATCAATGAGCTTTACAACTGCACATCTGTCTACATAATATTTTGTTGTAAGCGCATGAATTATTTTATCGCCATCCCCATGCCTATAATGGATGAGGATTTCATACATAATTCTAAATAAATCCTCCAAAGAAGGAACAAAAAGATGTTTTCTTTCGCCGTGTCTCTGACGTCCAGTATATCATATAAAGATTGAAACAAATTTCAACGGCCACCTGAAATGAAAGAAAAAAAATTTGTTGACCAAGGCCGCTCTGTAGATCTTTGATCAGCAGAACCAGATAGGCCTGGGTAACACTGTGTCGTGTGACACTTTTGCGTTGATGCCGGTCTGTTTGTCCATGTGCTCCAACACCTCGCCTTTTAAGACGCAACACCTTTTCAACACTCAACATTTAATCTCATTCAAGATGGCAGATTTTGGATTGCAAGTTCGTGAAGGTCTTGCGCATGTTTCATATGATTCGCGAAAGTGTCGGCAGGAAACGACGCGCGAGATATAACCAGCATTTCATAACCAAAACTCTTCTGACAGCTTCTAACAGCGTGATTCTTTGCCTCTGACTGTCAGCTGACATCAATTTTGACAACATTTTCAGTTTCGTTTTTTAAAGACCTTATACTTTCTCCGGCTAGTTTCCACCGAGGATAAAGAAAAATAGTATACTGTACGCGAGAGGAAAGTCTAAGACCCGCCACTGCGTGCATGATGTCAACTTCAAGCAGTAGCGGAACTTCGTTCTTGTACCGCAATATAAAACTTTTAATCAACTTTTCCGAGTTACTTAGTTTACCATATAGCTGATAAGTACAGCTACGACTAATTCAGACATTTTTAGGATTTTTGGATGCCGTCTTCCGAATTCTTACAAACCTTCACCCATTTAGAGTTGGTGCACCTGGATAGTGACACCAGTAGGGATGAACCAAGGTGAGTCCGAGTGTCTCTTTATTGAAATACTATGTCTTAAACCGAACCAAATGCTCGTAAATGTTTCTATTCACATTCTTGCTTTTCTGTTTGCAGATTGATTTTTGCAAATATTAAATTATTTTTTCTTTAATAGTTTGAATGGTAAAAGCTCGTGGCAGATGCGTTTGTATCAAGGCATGTGGCGCAGAGGAGTTACAGCAGGAGGTTGTCGGAATAATCCAGACACGTTTCATGTGAACCCTCAACTCCATCTTTTTCTGAGCGAAATGGAAGAGACGGTTATGTCGCTAAACCAACACTCGGTAATGGAGCCTAAAGTTATAGGTAATAAAACTGGTCAACGTATCAATCAATTTATAACTGTATTTACCATAATTTATATAAATTTCATGTATGTCACTGTGGTAAATCATTACTTCTATACCTATAGAGGGTGTCCCACCGGGAACCGCCGCGATCAATAACTGGCAAACTATTATTAGGAGAAATTTGAAAATTGGACAGTGTGCCAGAGTCATTAGGGGCAAGCGGCCGAACATATTTTCCAGATGGTTACACTTCCGGTTATAACGGAAGTAGGTATCAACTTGCCTATTTTAAATAAAACACCCTGTATATTATAACATTGTTGAATTCTAGTCGAAGTTCTAAATATATTTCATGTGTAATATATCCTATGTCTAACCGTTTTTGACAGATTTGAAATTTTATGTAAAAAATGATAGTTGCACTCCACTCGACTAATTATTAGTTTTTCCTACAAGAGAATATATTATCCTAAATTTTTTGGTGATACGTGAATACTGTCGTATTTTCGAACGCACTTTTATAGTTGACTCAACAAACCAACGTAAATGGGGTTTGGTAAATGAGCCAAATACCAAATTTGCCTCGTTTCGAAAAATGTGTTTATCAAAAGAAACGAAATTTATTTGTTTATCCAAAATGAATGGATGTATTGTAATAAAATTCCGTAAACCAACTGAATGATTCGCACTGACAATCTGAACTTAATCTAGGGCCGTCACAAATTAGCCTTGTGACGTAACAACAAACGATCAAGTGGATTTTTCCAAGGGTGGATGTTTATATTGTAACGGAAATGTCCTGGGGTACTCACGTTTGGAATGGGTGATCGAAATTCATGGTATTTCAGTAAATGGGAACCCCCTTTGGGCCCCATTTACTGTCAAATATGACACTGACAAGCGGGAAATTTCGCACCTGGACTGGAGATTTCGAGAACCTTCTGGGTTACCTGGAGGAAACTATATAAGCGACGACGAGAACCATGGGAGGTCAGTAAAGTGACAGCAGCGACCGGGTGCAGAAGAGGTTAAACCCCGCGAGTTGGAAATCCGAGTTTTGCGTTTGTTATTGTTATTGTTTGTGAAGTAGACGTTAATTTAGAAGTTAGTTTGTTCCTGTTCCGTAGTTAAAGTTGTACCGAGTGGAATAAAAGTTGGAAGCAGAGGAAAGAGTTTAATACTCGGCCATCCACGGTACAATATTATCCGTGCTGAGCTTTAATAAAAACTGCAACGACAAAAACACCAACAAAATTTGATTAAAAACCGTTTAATCACTAAATAAGATCATAAACCTACAAATACAATTTTCTAAATCTAATTCAACTTTATCTTAAAATTAATAATAGAATTGACTAAGAGTGAAGGAAAAGTCCTATTAATTATTTACGGTGAAAACGTCGCCTCGAAAGGGAAATCAAGTTTAAAAAAACTCACAGGTTTGGAGCCAAGCAGCCTGTTGTCTTTCAGCCCCCCGAGGGATTTGTTTGGTCGACCTTTTTTAATTGATCCAGACGAACAAGCTCTGTTGAGTTTGCCACTTGTACAGTCGGGTACTGCACGAATTTTTAGTCGAAAAGACCTTCAGGACGTCGGGGTTGTGGGTTGGTTGGAACTAGTTATGGTTCCAATCAATAAGGCACTGAGTCCTTTATGGCACAATAATAAAAAAATCCAATATAGGGGCCCGTGTCAGATTAGACCACGGGTAAACCAAAAACAAGATAGGGTGCACGCTAGTGCCTGTGGGAGCGATGCTTCGCGTTCGATTTTCGGGTGCGGACTCACTACGGGAATTTCTTCCGTTACCCGCCTGGTCGGGCACTTAAAAAAGGTCTCCGCTAAGAAGATCAACTACCCAGGCGATTTTCATGGGTTTGTTTTTATAGGGGGAATTTAGCGTGTTTTTGACAGTTTGTTGCAAGAAAGTCTGCAACACCAACATTCTCCTACTCCTCTAAAAGCTCGGCAAGGGAGGCGTTTTAGATCCCAGAATTCTTTTATGTGAATGTATGCTGAAATGTTGAATTTAAGGAAAATACCCCAGTTGAAGAGGGCGAAACCCACGAAATCTCATAGTAATAGCAAATTAATCTGCCTCCATTCGGACTCTGGGGGAATCCGAATCACTAGTTCCATTAATCGGAGGGAACCTCACAAATCACATACTGTCACAAAGATGTACTTGGCTACATACAAGAATAATGAGGGATGCCGGACATCTTATCAGGCCAGAAGAACTTGAACATATAAAATTGGGTATTTTCTCGGTCTCTGCGAGACACGACTACCAGATGAGAAAACCACTGTCCTGAGATCAGGTGACATTCTTTATCGGAATAGTGGCATTAGACAAAAGGGTCAAGGAGGTGGAGCATTTCTCATCGATATAAAGCGCTGAAACATTTGAGAACAGAGGTGAAATCGATCTCAGACATGGTAATCTACATGCTGCTTACACTCTACTACTACAAACGACACAGTATACAGTTTACCCACGGAAAAGTCCCAATAAGTAATGCGGATGGGGAAATGAAATTTTCTCGAGGACCTATCCAAAGCGATTGATGCATGCAAAACCCACTACAGGGTCATATGTGCAGGCTTCAACTGTCTTCCTGTTCTTCCTTTTTGTAAGGCATCTGCCTTGTTCTCTACTTTCTTAGATGATAAATTCCAGCTTTTATCAAGTCACAAGGAGCAACATTAGATGAAATTGTTGAATATTAATTGAAATTAATGAATATGAGAGAATTGCATTCTTAGCAATTGGTATAGCATTGCATTATCAAGAGTAACACACATTGAAGGACTTTATATTGTCACCGAAAGAAACAATCCGATATTCTATCACGATCGAAAAGAATCTACATCCGATTTTGATTTACAAAATTCATTTAAAAGGCTCATTCAACAGACTTGAAACCGTTACCAATGTTTTAACAAATTTTGTTTCTAATCAAAAGGGTATTTCAATATTATCATTAAATTGTTTAACGTGCACATGCTTTGTACCCCGAAGACACTGTTACGCAACGGGCAACTATATTGATTTTATCAGAATCTTGGAGGAGTAATGAAGAAAGCATCGATGTCCCAAATTTTGATTGCGTTGCTAAGTTTAAAGGACCTACTTATGGAGCCGCAGGTGTAGCTATATTTAAAAATAATAGATAAGTCAACTTCACACTTGGCTCACTTCACAGATGGAATATATCGTCAATAGGAGAGATTTGTACGGTGAAATGTCAAACAGAAAATGGACATGAAATTGTAATCGTAGCAATTTATATCTCACCTAACCAAAGTATGAAGAAAATCATCGAATTCATTGAAAATTTATTAAAATATACCAAAGCAGAATCAGGTCATCTCAATCGGAAGCTTCATAAATTACCTATGATTTTGAGTGGTGATTTTAATGTTGATTTTTCAAATGACTCATCAAAGCCTTTAGTTGATTTTTAAAAATCGACATTTGATTTGAATATGTCGAATGATCCAAATGAAAGTACAACAAAATATGGTACCACAATTGACAGAGTTTTTGTTAGATATTTAGCAAATAGATACCAATCAAAAGTGTTCATAGCATATTTCAGTTATCACAAATCCATTGTTTAATTTTTATAATATGATACGAATTTCAATCAGTTAGAGCACAGTGTACCATAGGAATTTATTATATGCTTCTTATCAGTGCAAAGGGAAATTTGACTAGTTGATTAATTAGCATCATGGAGTTTGCATTGGCTCTTTTATTAGAGCAAGAAGATGATGAAACCATGATTCCGTTATTAATTACGAATAGGAAACCTCATCATTCTACAGGGTGATTCAAAATTGGCGTCATTCCTCTGGAGGTGTTGTCGGGTGTTGTTATAAGAGTACCGAAAAAATAGTAAAATAAATTAATTGTTATTGAAAACTGAGAAATGTGCAAAAAACTATATCAGAAATACGACAGCAATGTTTTTAAGGTAATCTGCCTAATTAACATTGCGCAAATACCCGTTGCTTCGTAATTATTTAAAACTCCGGAACTCATAAAATTATACAGAGTGACAATAAGATAGACAAAGATGAACGGTCAACTCAATAGGAATCGTTGAATGCCGGAACGTACTTTCGAAATGTCAACTTGTTCTTATAACCTCGAATATTGGTGTTTTGAAATAAATCATACAACACCAAACATTTGAATGGTTAACTCCAAGCAAGCTAGTGCCTGTGTATGCTCCTTATTATCCACTATTATCAAGCAGCTTCTCGTATTCAGCTAATTAACTCCTGCTCCATTTGTATCTCCTTGTGCTGTGTGTATCGTACAAACGTGGTAGGAACGTAGCCCTTCCTCGGCATTTATTTGGTGCTTGGGAAATTGTCAGTTATTGTGCTCTGAGTGCCCCTGGAAGGCCCTGATTCGATTATGTCGAATCCTCTGTGCCTGGAACCGAAAATGGATTGTCGTCCACTATCTTCCTGGAACCACTCTCCTCGCCCTTTGTTGGCGTGAGTTCTTTGAGCTTTTGACATGTCACTGTAGCATTTGCCCTGAACTAATCGCATATCCGCAAATTCGTGAAAGGAAATTCAAAGTAAGTCACAGTTTGACAAATTATTGTTATTTCTGACAAGGGCTATCCACCTGTAACTACCTGTTAATGACAAAAAACATTATTGCCGCTGTGCCTTTTCATCAAAAATTGTTGAAGAGAACTTTTGAATGAGAAAGATGCTTAAGTATTCCAATATGCTACCAATTACACATGGAACAATTTCAAAATAATGCTTAATAACGAAGTTGAAATTCGATCTTCAACTGTTAATATCTTCTATAAATTTTCGAAAAAAAAAAGTTCGATATTTTTGTCGTACTCCCCAAGGGAGCCTCTATCAGCCCTTAAAAGGAATGACGCCAATTTTGAATCACCCTGTATTTATTTTATACTATTAATTATTACCGCCGTGCCCCGCTTGTTGAAGTTTTCACTTCTATCGTGTGGTCTTAAGCACATACAAGATTAATTTTTTAATAACTGACTAACCTTACCGTCGTTAGTTGCCAAGTTTAACGTATATGTTTCTGTTGTTTTTAAGGGCTGAGTTATATTTCAGGATCGGACTTTTACCAATTTTCAAATTTTCAATATTTGCATTATTTTTTAAGACCAAGAGAGATGTTTGTTCCTAAAGTGTTATCCATGCCTCTAACTTCTGCTGGTAATTTCAAATTAGTCTTGATGGTTTAGTTAGATAAATAACACAGTGTGAATAATCAGTTTAACTCTGAAGTTCGAGCTAAAGGAAAAATTTCTTTATGACAATTTTTTGTTTAAACCTTAAAAATCCTCCGGCATGGATTTACCTATTAACTTTAACGATGCTGAGAACAAAGTTAAATAAAATTATTAGAAACTATTCTCCTGCGGAAACTATATTTCCTCCAATTTGATTTTACGGTGTTGTATAGTAAAAACCAACTAACCGTGCATCCTCATCTAGCCCTTTACGACTAAGATCTTAGCAGCATTCTTCGGTTATGATGGCCTTGTTTTAGATTTCCTATTGCAAACACTGTGTTGTCGTCTAAACTTTCAAGTCATGATTTAATTCGTACTATGGTTTACAAAATACATATTTTTTATGATGCGATCTTCGATACATTTTTTTTATTTTCTAGGGTTTTCCGCATACACGATGCCAAAAATGGGCACAGACACTATTGGTCGAGTGTTCTTCAAGAAAAACAAGTCCCTTTTCAATTCGCAATATACAAACAGTCGCCAGGTTAGTCACCGGTAAGTTTTAGAAAGCATTTCCAACAATTCCATGTTAGGCTTGGTGCTAATATGAAATAATATTGTTATGGAATCTAAATAAGACCTATGGAAACAAGATTTGATTTTCATGAATTATAAAGGGTGTTCCAATAAGAACGACGGATTTAAATCTTAAATAAAACATATATAATTGTGGCATAAGTTTAAAACATTTATTGAAAAATAAAATACACATCATGAGGTTATCAATGGAATAATACATCG